GCCGCTTTACTCGCCTCTCTGCCACATCGGATCATCGCGATCTCGTTTCCGATCCGGCCTCGGGGAAGCAGAACACACCCTACCCTGTGCCTCCGGTCGGGACCGGACGGGAATATGAGGTACATAACACCATAACACCCTGCCTCTCTGCCCCTGTTGCAGGTAGTGGTGTACCTCATGTACATCACCGTGTTCTGCGTGGCGCTGGTGGGCAACGGGCTGGTGGTGTACGTCGTGGCCGGCTCGCCGCGCATGCGCTCCACCACCAACTACTGGCTGCTCAACCTGGCCGTGGGCGACATGCTCATGACCCTGGTGTGCGTGCCCTTCTCCTTCGTGTCCACCTTCCTGCTGCAGTACTGGCCCTTCGGCGCCTGGCTGTGCCCCGTCGTCAACTATTCGCAGGTGAGTATGCCTTCCGGTGGTGTGCCTCCGGGTGGCCGTCGAGGCCCTGGAGAGCGGGGCGGCGGAGCATGTGGACAGTGTAAGCAAGCTTGTGTACGGGGAGCGGCGACGAGGATGGGGGGAGGAACTGGGGGAGCAGGGAGAGCGCGGTGCAGCCACCGCCCCTCCGCCGCTGAGCCCGAGGGGGTTGAGTGTCAGTTGATGGGAAAACGAGAAATTTGAATCGGGACTGCTGAAGGGAACGGAGGGCCTCGGAGAAGGGATGAGTCTCTCAAAGAGGGGTGCGGGGGCGGGTGTGCCAAAGTCCGTCCGGGGCTCCTCCTCCTACTGCCTGCCTAACCACACCCGGAGAGCGGTGACCCTCCTTCGCCTTCGGCTTCTCGCCCTGGCTGGCGCTCCAACCAGATTAAAAGGGGTAGAGAGAGGGAGACTCAAAGAGGCGGAGAGGGCGGTGACCCGTTCGCCTCGGTGCGGGGACGTCGTCGGCAGGGCAGCAATAATTAGACCGAGTTACTCCAGTTCGTTTGGGTTTAAGTGTGCCGCGCAGCACGCAAGGGCCACGCGTACGACATCTCGCTCGGCTGATTTAAATTTCATGACGCGGCCCCGGTGTCATTCGGGAGAGCGGACTGAGAGTGGAGGCGACGGGTAGGCCACCCACTTGGAATTCGGAATAACTGAACCTCTCTCCTTCCCGCGAGGACGTTCGCGAAGCACATCGGCCCCCGCTGGTGTCCTCGTGCGGCGTTGGTGAGCCCATTAGATGAACCAACCAAAATTTGAGGTTAGAGTCGCCCGGCGCTGGGTCGAGTCGCGCGGTTTTGTGGCTGTACCTTGTTTTGAGTTGAGCTCGTGTCCAGACGATGACCAGCATAGACCAGGTGCAAGAGTACGTTTCCACTTGCTCGGCGCGTGTCGATTCCTCCACTGTAACGTCAGACTGAAGCACTAAACCAAGCACTGTTATAACCTCTCATTCGATATCGATACTTTCGGCCGCTCCGCTGCTCGCTGCAGCAGTACACACGCAGTACACCAACCTGCCGCCGGCCGCTTACCGCTAGGTGCCCCATTACCATTGCACCCGTGGTGCACCCGTGCGACTTTCGAAGAGCGAAAATAAACGTAATTTAATTTTTCTCCAATTTATAGGATTGCTGTTATCCGGATTCCAAATAGTGTACTTCGGCTATAACGGAGGAAGAAGAAGAGCGGACAAAACAGAAACGTTCACGATTGGTCGAGAGTTTCCCGCCTCTACGTCACGCCGTTAGTGGGAGTGAAGGCTCGACCAATCACGAACCTTTATGTTCTACCCGCTCTTCTTCTTCATCCGTTAGTCGAAATACACTATTATTTAAAAATTTCTTATCAATATCGGAGATATTAGGATTAGGTGTGGTGAGCTTGCTACTCCTCTCGTGTTTTCTTTTCACACTTGCAAAAATTGTCAGGAAAACACTTTATCATCTTTTAAAATGTTCCAATGTTGACGGTGATGGTTTTTATCTCCGTTTCCGTCCTTGCAGGCCGTGTCCGTGATGGTGTCGGCGTACACCCTGGTGGCCATCTCGGCCGACCGGTACGTCGCCATCCTGCGGCCGCTGCGGCCGCGCCTCTCGACGGGGCAGCTGTGCGGCGTGCTGGGCGTGGTGTGGGCGGGCGCGGCCCTCACCGCCCTGCCCGTGCTGCTGCGCTCCGAGCTGGACCAGCCCAGCGAGGAGTACCGCTCCTGCGACCGGGCCGTCTGCGCGGAGCGCTGGGACGAGCCGCGCTTCAAGTACTTCTACAGGTGAGCCCCCCCCAGCAGCAGCAGCGGTGAGCGGCGCGGAGCGGCGCCGCGCTCCAGGCAGATGAGACGGAACCAAACGACCTCTTCTCCGCTCGATCAGGCCGACGAGGCGGTGGGCGGCGGCCGCCTGCCTCACAAGGGCCGCCTGTTTGTCCATTTTATTCCGTTTGCTTATCCTCGTGCTTGTTGTGCTCCCGGCCGAGCGGGCACGGCCTGCACAGGCTCGGGCTCCTTCTAGGGCGCAGCGGCGCGCCTCTCTGATCCCGCCCCGCCCGTCTTGCCCGTCGTCCTCTACAAGTACCCAATTAGAGACTCCGCGTCTCGCAGCAGTCCAGCCGCTCCGCTGTGATCCGTGCGACAACCCGCCCCTTCTTCTGTCGCCATCCCCCTTTCTCTCTCTCTCTTCTCTCTCACTCGTCTCTCGCGTCCCGGGGGTGCTCTACGGGACACTAGCAAGAGCATCGTCCAGGAGACAATAAGAGAGGCGCCGCCCCCGCCCGGGCTGGGCACTCGACTCGAGGCGGGAATGCAGTGAGCCGCAGCTAGTTGCTCTCCTGGCCGCCCTCAGCGCGCCCCGCCCCCGCTCCGCCCCCGCTCCGCCCCCGCTCACGCCCCCTGTCTTTCCTAGTTGCTCAGAGCTGCCCGCAGGCCTCGGTCGCCTTGGCCTTCAGAGGCAGGCGACTCCGGGCCGGACTGTCCCCCGGGTCGGGGTGGTCCGCTCCGCTGCCTTGCACACGACCGTGACTTTGTGGGGGCGGCGATGTGCGGAGGCGATAGCGCCGCGACGGCTGCAGTTCCTCAGGGCCCGACTCGTGCCGCCCCCGCGCGGGCCGCGGAGCGCCTCAGCCGTGCCGCCCACCCTTACAGCATCCTCTTTTTGATAATCCTTGTCGTTGTCGCACGGACACGTCTCGCTTCTAGACCGCTTCCCCCCTCTTTCCATACTATGCGGGGCCTTGGCTGGCTGCCGCTTCCGGAAGAGCAGGAGGGAGCAGGGTCTCGGCCTTCACGCTCCTGCTCCTCCCCCTCCTGCCCGTCCTGCAAAAGCGCCCCTGCCGGACAGAGGCCTGCCCCCGCTCCGGCCGGCCGGCTCGCCCTCCCATGATTCGCAGCCTATAAGCCCGAGCCTTGGAGGCCCCGTTGCCACTGAGCCGCGCTCCGCCGGCGTCCTTCCCTGTAGCACATTACCGTCTGAGGCGGCATCCCAGCCACGCCCCAACAACCCCGCCTTTCCTTCGTCGAGGCATATGGCTCAGGGCCAAGCCGCCGCGTCCCGGGCTCACAAGTAAGAGGGCTCGGTCGACGTCGTCCAGCGGCTGCACTTTCCTTTTGTATCGTACGCCCCCTGGTCTGGCAGCGGGCATCCCTTTAGCCTCGTTCATGTAGGCCGCCCCGCACGGCGCGCACGGCCGCAGGCGACTGATTCCGAAGAGCGCTCTCCTATACCTTCCGTATAGCTTCGTCCTCGTCGCACTCATGGGGCAGCTCCCCTTGAGCGCTCTTTGGAATCCATCTGCAGCTCCGGGCCGCGTCCTCGGTAAAGGGCAGCGAGACGGGAATGATGGAAAAGACGAGATAGAGCTGCAATGCACTGTGGATCCGCTCGCTCGGCTGAAAGGGGATAGCATCTGCTCCGGGGGCGGGTGGACGTGGTGGACAGGGCTCGAGTGGCGCAGCGGCGAGGCAACTCCAAGAGCGCGCAGCAAAAGGCGAGGGGGGGGGGGCATCCTCCAGGACGCACAATAACGAGGGCGAAGTGGTCACCGTCCCCTCCGGCTGCTCTCCGCTACATATATCTCCGCCTCGGTTTCGCGAAGCGCAAATCCTATGGGCTGTCCGGGGCGGCGTCGGCAGCGTGGCGCGCTGCAAGGCGGGACGGGCGGGGCGCGCTCATGCGGCAGGACGGCAAGCAACGGCAGTCGAGTCCACCCACATCGGATGGGCCCGGCCCCGGCACGGCCGAGGGTCCAATAGTGGAATCCGCTCTCTGAGTGCCTCGCGGGCGTGCCGTGCCGTGCCGGGCCGTGCCGGGCCCTGGTCACGCTGTCGGCCAGCACTGCGAGGCCGGGCGACAAGTATCGGGTTACGTCCCGACAGGCAGGACCGAGGTTTAGAAAGGCACTCGCCGCCGGCGGCCTCGCCCCCCTCGCCCCTGATACGCTGCCATGCCCTCCGACACGTCCCACGATGTGTCGCGTCGCGGGGTAGACGAGGGTGCAATTGTCCCCCCTCCGTCCTCCCTCCGAGGTCCCCGCTCCTCCCCACGGTCCGTTTGTGGACTCAAAACGGTTGGCTACGCTGGATATCGCTCGCGAATCGGTCAAATTCCACCCCGACCCCCCACCCTCCGCTCCGCACCGCCCCACCGCGCGCCCTGCCACTACGGCCCGGCAGCGTTGTCGTCGGGGTAGCTTTTCGGGGTCACGGGGGTCTGGGTTTGTGGTAAGCCCGGGGTAAACAGAATCAGAGCCGGCAGAGGGCGCCCGGCCCCCGGGACGGGGGGGGGGGGGGGGGGGGGGGCGATGATATTAGGTGGCCGACGGGGAGGGCGGCGACGATGATAAGGCCAGCCATAAGACGGCGGCGATATAACGTGACGTACGCGACGAGGATCGGCGGCGGAGACCCCAGGGGCTAAAAAGGAGAACGTGAAAATGCTTGACTTGTGGTGGAAAACTCTAGCCTTTGCCAAGTTTAAAATGTGGGTGCAAGTTAGTAAGCACAGCGATTTCTCTCGAAGCGGTATCAAAAACAATTGTCATAACGGTCAGTCTGGCGTATCGCAACGGTGTCGTTTAGATGCCGTTTCGAGGCTCATTTCTCACCGGGAAGGTCACCGGCAGCTCGCCTGGAGCTCGGTGCGCCTCGGTGCACCGAGCTGCCGCCTTACGCAATAATCCCGGGGGGGGGGGCGTTGTAAGTCTGGCGAGAGTGGCGGCACGCACCCCGTGCGCCGCAGCGCCGCATCTCCTCACGGAGCAGCATGGCAACTCCAGAGCAGTGTAGGGCTTGTCCTACGAGCCCTAATCCCGCAGATCCGCCGCCCCCGCGCTCTCTGTTGGAATGTCGCACCCCGCCCTCTCGGCCTTGGCCGGGGCCGCCGCGCCCTTGTCAGGCCGCGACTTCATACTCGAGAGTTTTGGGACAGCCTCTCGCGCGGACTCTCGACACTTATTGTCACCCTCACTGAGACCATGTCGCCGCTCCGCGCGAGAGACTCCGAGGAGCCACCAGCGGGCTCATGGCCAGCGTGTACCCCCCCTCCCCGGATTATCTTGATCGTCTCTCCGAATGGAGGATTTTGTTTTTCAACCCAAATTTGGAAACACACAATTGAAAACATTTGGAGATTAATTGAAATTCTTAGAAGAGCTTCAGGGAAACGCCTGGCAGGTAGGCAATTCAGCGCGGGCCTCCGTGGCGGGTGGCCTACCCCGTGGCTGGCAGGGGCTCCAAGTGAAGGGAGAGGGGGGAGTCGATGTTGATGGGCTACATGCTGTCTAGTGAGTATTAACTACTGTCTTATGCCATTTCCGGCCATTTCACTCACTAATGGACGTTTGATTGGGGTTTTTCATAATTAATATTGGGCGAATGGCAAAATTTATTGCAATTGAGTCAGAAAAATACAGAAAAACATTGTTGCGTATTTTATCTTCTAGAAAAAAAAAGTATCAAATATGAAATCAACATTGCATGCTCTGTACGTTTACAATTGTGTGTAGAGTGATCCGGCCACTAGCAACGGTACTGAGAGTAGCACCACCATCTGGTAGACGGCTTCCATTCTGTAACATGAGAAAAAGTCATGGGGATATCCGCACACAGTCGACGTAAACAATGAGATGTGCCGCTCGCCCCACCTACCTGCGCAGCCGGGACCTGGTCTCCAGTATCGAACTCTCGCTATCCTGCTCCTTCAGTAGGTACTTTCTGGTGCCGTACAGGTTCGTCTTCGTGTACTCCTCATAGTCCAGGGTGGACACGTCGAAGGGAAACGCCTCCCGGTCCCGGGCGTCCATCCTCGACCACAGAGACCGCACGTTGTCGTCCGTGAAGGGCCACTCCTGTGTGGTGAAGAAGTCTAGCGCCTTCATCATGTGCGTCTGTCTGTTGACCTGGTGGGTCATCCTGGAACAGAGAGTATGGCTGAGCTAGCGGTCACGGCCAGGAGCCCCAGGATCACGCCGGGCCGCCAGACCGACCTCGGAGACTTCCTCCCCGCAGCTTGCGCGGCCAGGTCGACGAGGTGGGCCGGCAAGGTCTTCCCCAGCGCGGTGCAGAGCCGGTGGTAGAGGCGCGAGGTGGTGAAGTTGATCGCAGGCATCCAGAGTGACCTGGCGAAGGGCCGGCGGCGCGTGGCCTCCACCCACAGGGCCGTGAGGCGGGCCCAAGTGATCGGCGCGGTGGCGCCCGTCACGCAGTTGTACACTGTGAGGTCGCGGGCGTCACCGGCCGCGCAGCCCCACGCCGCCGCCACCGTCAGGTTGATGCAGACGTCCACCGGGACCACGTCCGCGACCTTGTCGAAGTCCCCGTAAATGCAGCTCAGCGTGCCCATGCCGATCGCCACCCAGGGCCCCACCGCCCCGTTCAGGCTGTCCACCCACCCTGGGAAGGGCTCGCGCACCGACGGGCACACTGCAAACATTATTTGATCACCATCGCACAATCTTTATTTTGAAATTACTTGTGCCGCGGCAACCGGCCCCGCCGTCGTCGTCGAGCTCACCGATAGACGGCCTCACGATGGCCACGGGCAGGCCCACGCCTTCCTCCAACACCACGTTCTCGGCGACGGCTTTCGTGAAGGTGTACGTGTTGACGTAACCTCCAATCAGGCTGGAGTTGAAACCGTGTGTTTAGTACTGCGGGTTACAACTCGCTCTCACCTCCATCGTCACCCTCCCCGACACTCATCCAGACCTGGCCGTGTCCTCCTCGACCTGCTTGTCGTCCCTTCGGTCGAGCTCCGACTGCAGGGCGTCCGCCGTGGTGGGCGCCGGGTACACTACCTCCCCGGTCGCGTCCTTCCGGATGCAGTTGCAGTATGCGGTTGACATGTGCACCAGCGCCTAAACGAAGGGCGACGAGCTTCAATGTAGTGTAAGTAGCCTATATGCGGGATGCGGGCGGGTGGTTTTTAGAGGGGAGGGGTGAACTAAAACTCACGGCCAGCCCAGGGATCTCGCGGCACAGGTCGAGCACGGCGCGCGTTCCCTGGACATTGATCTGGAATGCCATCCTGAGGTGCTCGTTGAAGCGGACGGTGGCGGCCACGTGGAACACGACGGTCACGGCCGCGCGGATCCGCGCCCGGTCCAACGGCGAGAGGCCGAGTCCCGGTGCGGACATGTCCCCGGCGACGGCCGTCACCTTGGCGAGGGCCTCCGGCCGGCTGCGGCGCAGCCCATCAAACACCCGCAGAACCACGACAAGCGCGTTTCAACGTTATCGGAAGTCAGTAAACAAAGCAAGATTCCCAGACGACGAAACAAAAGTGGTGGAAATACTCACGGGGGTGGCCAGGATACGTTGTAGGCGCTCGTGCACCCCGAGCGGCTCCCGCTGCAGCTCCCCGCGGACCGCCTTGGGCCGCAGCAGGACGAACACTGCCTCCACCTCTGGGCAGGACCGCAGCAGCTTCTCCACCAGCACCTTGCCCATGAACCCCGAGGCGCCCGTCACCAGGACGCTGCGCCCGCGGTAGAAGTCGGCGATCCCGGCGGCCTCGGAGGTCCCCGTCGGGAAGCTGCTAGGGTCAGAGTTGACGTCCATTTCGATAACAAGGAGACCGCGTCGCGGTCGAGTGTTTAGACGGATGTTTGGTTGTTTGGTGCTGCTCCCTTTTGGGCTCCTGAAATCAAGGCTGAAGGCGGAAAATCCTATGAGAAACAGGAAGTTGGGGACCAAATGTTGTTTTGTGGATAGATACTAATGAAAGATTACTCTGTTAAGTCTACACTGCGCGGAGTTGTTCGGCCACCTGGTACATCGGAAGTGTGTGAATTTCGCACACTTGTGTCTGCGTGAACGCCATCCGTACACATGGAGCTTGCAGGCCCAAGCTTGTGAATTTCAAAGGCGATAGTTCCCTTTCGTGTACGAATAGGCTCTCACACACCAGCAAGTGTGCGACATTCACATACACTTGCGTTTCCAGAGTATACCAGACCAGGTGGCTGATTTACGCCGCGCACTTTTGAACTAGTGACGTGTTAGCGCTTGGAGCCGGTCCCCTGCGCCTGATGGGTATGCAGTCCCGGATGGAGCCGTGCGGGCGGGTTGCATAGTACAAAAGTGCGCGGCGTGAACCAGCGAACCAGCCACCTGGTATAACCAAATCAGAAACTTACAAAGACCACGACGGTGGCAGCCACCGGAGTTCACGCCAGGTCCCTCTTGTGTCTGCTACTATCTGCCAATGCCTACTGCGGACTGGAACAGTCATGAACGACGACTGGCAGCCAGCGGAGCGCAGCCGCAGCGCTCCGACCGACTCGCTCGGATTTGGGCTGGTCAGCTGTCTCGGCTCGGCTCTCTTCTTCATGTGTTCCAAGCCGTTTCGGCTCAGCCGAGCTCGTATCGCTTATGCTTCCGCTATTCGACTGTTCGACTGCTCTGGTGGTGGGGCACCTTCGGCGGCGGAGACACGCGGGAACGGTGTGCAAAAACTCTCCGTTACAGCCCCGGTCCCGTGGGAGTCACGCCTAGATCTGCATGTGGAATTCGCGCGCGGTACTCATCTCGACCACGACCAGCATAATCTCTGCTGACTGACCTTCCGGCACGTGTCCCGGACCCTGAAGCACGCAAGTTATCGGTCCCGGCTTCTTAAAACAGCCGAAAAGAGCTCATTGCAACCTTATACCCGCGAAGGTTGCTTACATCTAAAGTCACGTTGCAAGAGCTCAAAACTCGAAGGGCCTATAATATAAGCTTTGCAGCGTTGCGAGAGACCCATAGTAATGGCCTGCAAGCACTCGAAAGGGTACCCGGTTGTTTGCTTCGTATGCATACGGCCACAGGGTGGAAGTGTCGACTTGTCGAAACCGTGGCGGAAGCACTTTCTATTTGTCCGTCGCTCGGCCCCTCGCCTCCCTGGGGATCGATGGACTGCACATTTCCCGGCTCCACCCCTACCCCTAGCTCCCGAGCCCCGAGCCGCAGAGTACACATCCTTCTTCCGCCCCTTTTTCCACTCTTTGACTGAAAATTTATTCTGTTTTGAACTTGTCAGCCTTGTATAGCGCAGTCTGCCGAATCCTACATTAGACGTCAATTGACGTGCAAAATTAAACTTAATTTTTTCTTCACTAGTGTGGCCACGCGGTGAGGAAGTTCCATCATTCCAATGATGTGTCCCACGACACCACCACCAAGCCTGACCCAGAAAACGGGGGAGAAATTGCGACGGCCGACGCACATGTATTTTTCATACGCTGTGAGGCCGCAGCAGCGATTTCTCATAGTGGTGTGGCGTCGGTGTGGGCGTGGGGCGGATTCTCATCCCCCTTTCTCTCTGTCTCAGTCAGTCTGTCTCTGTCGGCCCGTGCGCTCGCGCTCGCTCTTTCTCACATCACATACCCGTGTCATCCCCTGAACGCTTTGGACCAAGCTCTCCCCACATGTCAACACGAACCGCAGGAAGGCAAAGCAGCCAGGAGAAACGAGGCCTCGACCTCGGGTGAAAGCGGAGCAGGGCGATGACGATGACATAGCCGGAAGAAGACAAAAATAAGAGTGGCCAGTGATAATCACGGAAAGAGGGGCTTCTCTGGGGTGGCAGTGGGGTTCACAAGTTCGGCGCGCCCCGCCGCCCCGTGGGGACCAAATTTTAACATGATGGCGTTGGAATAACATGATTTAACAAGCGGGATAGGGTGAGGAATGGAGCGAATTCATTTAAGGCCATGAGGCTCGGGCCCCGCAGAGAAGGGATTCCCCCCCCCCTCCACCTCCCTCGCTGTCAGGCACGTGCAAGCCGCACGTGCCTTTCTTGAACTGCGATGATTTCAACAGAAGGGAAAAGATACGGTGGAAGCCTGGACCGGACTTTTGTTGGCCGTTCCGGACAATGTGTCCCTCACTTCTCCGATGCAAAGCACCGCGTCCCTGCGCTCCCTTTCAATGCCGCTCGACCGTGCTGTCGGGCGACCTCAGTCATGTACCCATCAGAATGATGTCGTTTGTCCGCTCCCCCCCCCCCCCTT